TATACAAATATGAGGACAAAAAAGAAACTGATTTGGAAAGATATTGTAGTAAAGAATAATATTAGCGTGTATTGTATTGTGTCTTGATAATCATAGGGTTTATGTGTTATTGTTGTAGGATGAGCACGTGAGCGGTTGATTGGTGGGGGGGGGGGGGGGGGTGGGGGGGGGCTGTTCCATTCTATTCTTTTTCAAGGCTGCAATCATGATGGCATGGATAATTTAGACCCCCCCTCCCCCCCCCAGAAAAAATAAATAAATAAATAAATAAGAAGAATGGGAAATGGCGCATTTTGGCCTTCTTGCGGGGTTCAATCTAGATTTCGCTACGGCATGGAGATTGGGGGATCCCTTCAAGACTGTAGACCAAACCCGGAAATTGCAGCCCAGTGTGAACGATAACAGCGATGTCTGTTCTTGTTTTTAGACAGAATTCGTGACTAATCTACATAAGTAGCTGTTTAATAATTAACTTCCTGAGGGACAAATCCCTGTTTATACCAAGGACTGTCATAGAACAAAACGCTATTCCTTGAGGCTTTTCATCCTATTCTCGACAATAAAGACAATCTAAAGACCGTGGGATTGATCAGCTCAGGGAAGTTTTAACTTGCCTATATAAATTTCGTGAAGGTAGGTTATATTTACAGTCTTAAGGATAAGTATCCATGCCAGCTGCCCGCACTCAGCAATAGAGTTGCATTTTACACGATAGCGAAGGCTTCAGAGACTTGCATCCGGGCTTGCATCCAACTAAAGCAACTCAGGAACTGTCTCTAAAAATAACGTCTTATCCAACCGTGCATCGAATTCAAACATATATAAGCCATTACAGAAAAGCTGAATTAAAAATCATAAAATTGGATTGCGTAGACTGACTTAAGTTTAGAAAACTTCGATTCATCTAGGAAATAATGAAGGGTATAGAAGAACTCGAGTGTACAACAGTTGTAAGATGATCTTGAAATTTACTAGGAACCTTGTGGCATGTTCTATGAACCATTACCGGGCCGGCGTATCACATCGAACGTTCGGTTTTCGAAGTCTCTCGAACCAAAGACATGGGTTCGATACAGCTGTTAATGCGGCCATTGAACCAAATCGAACAAACAAAAACTATCGGAATTGAAGAAAAGCGAATGCTTTTCGAACGAATTCAATTGGATTGGGTCATCGAACGAAGTGGAACTCTTTGCAAAAAACACGAATGGAACAAAATCGTTTAATTGATCCAGCGTTGAAACAGCCAAGGCGATTTGAAGTTTTGGTTCCTTTCATTACTGTATTTCCATATTCTGAGAGTAGTTATGATAATATGCTTTCTGCCTTAATTTTAAAGTACTATTTTCCGATTATCCCCAGTCATTATCCCGTCAGCCGTCATGAAAATTTTCCTGATTATTTTCTGTCTTCATTTTTGTACTTTTTTAAAAATCTACTTTAAAGAGAAAAAGTGACTATTTTCCGCTATTTTCTGTTGAATTTCCTGTCATCCGTCATCTAAGAATTTGTTCATCCTCAGCGTGCGTATATAGAGGATATTACACGGTGGCGAGAAGATATGAATTTTATGTTCGAGTGGCAAGAACAATATCTCACGAGTGAGCGAAGCGAACGAGTGAGATATTGTTCTTGCCACGAGAACATAAAATTCATA